AAACAGGAATAGATAATAATAGATTTTGCTTCGTATAATGTTATAGTATGTGCTATGTAAATACTACAGTTTATTACATCCACCTAGCTCATCTAGTAACTGGTAGAGTTACATGAGCAGAAAACCTGCTGAAACACAGGAACTATTAGTCCAGGTGTTTATAGGCCTAACTAAATTCAAATGAATTAATTTATCATTGAGGTGAAAAGGTGACACATTTAAAGAGGTTACTTCCCCACAAAAAAAGACTCGAAAGAGGAGAGAAGTCTAATGTGCTGCTGACTCAGCAGGGATTTTATTATATTAGAGAAGTTGATCTAAAGGAGAAATTTCAAATCTCGCTCAGGGCTCCAACTCGGTCAGGACAGGCCCTGATGTGGCTTGGTATCAATATCAATTCAGTTGTGATGTCCTACAGTCAATATTAAATATTCAGAAGTGGTCTGTCAGTATTTTGTTGTTCCTCCAATTCAGCAGCTGTTTGCTGCAAAACGTAAGCACTCAATGCAAAATGTTTTAAGACTCTCAGCATTGAAACTGAAATGCAACGAAATGATAAAGTCAGCTGAGTTGTAAAAATTTGATATAAAAAAATATTGCTAGTATTTTTATCACCACAGCTTATAACAGCCCATCACTACTGAACATATAGTTCCACCTACATATAATAATATGTAAAATAATCACATGAACCCTCCTTTGGAACAACCTGATATAAAACTGCTCCACATTTAATCTAATAAAATAATAAACAGACACTCAGAAATGAAGTTCGATATTTACCTGGTCTGAAACTCGGGGAGCTCTGCACATGCTGAAGGTTGACAGTTTCTTGCAGAGGATGTCTCTCGCGCTCCTCCCCCTTCATCTAAACCCCGCGCTGCTCGGGGCTCCGGAGGATCTCATTGGCTGAGAGGGGCCGCGGGAGTTTTTTGGTGCGCTAACACACATATTTTGTGTTTACCACACAGCTCTGTCCACATTCCCTGACATTGACGCCACTAGAGGCGTTTCAGCTAGTCAGCAACAAACCGGTTTTCACTGCAAAAGCACCAAAAATGGAAACTAAAACACAGGATGGAAAATATAAATAAGCAAAAAAAAACTGACATCCCACTGTGACAGTGTTATATATTTTCAACAGGCATTTTTTCAACCCAAGACCAATCGATAGGCTACAGGTTTTCAGTGGAGAGCAGGGATGGCTGATGGATGATATATAATGCCAACATCAATACATAATTTCCATTTATTTGACTACACTTTTAGCTCAGTTTAATACATTTCTCTTTTAATTGTACTGTTTTTATCATGTTTTTTTTATATCAGTTGTTTTTAAATTTATTTTTCTGAAGTAATTTTGTATTTGTATCTTTGTGTCTGTAAAGCACTTTGAATGGCTGCAGTGGAAGGTGATACATAATCTTGCCTTGCGAACATTTACAAAACATTACATTTACTAATTTATCTGACGCTTTGATCCAAAACAACTTACAATAGCTACATACAGTGAGGAAAATAAGTATTTGAACACCCTGCTATTTTGCAAGTTCTCCCACTTAGAAATCATGGAGGGGTCTGAAATTGTCATCGTAGGTGCATGACCACTGTGAGAGACATAATCTAAAAAATAAAATCCAGAAATCACAATGTATGATTTTCTAACTATTTATTTGTATGATACAGCTGCAAATAAGTATTTGAACACCTGAGAAAATCAATGTTAATATTTGGTACAGTAGCCTTTGTTTGCAATTACAGAGGTCAAACGTTTCCTGTAGTTTTTCAGCAGGTTTGCACACACTGCAGGAGGGATTTTGGCCCACTCCTCCACACAGATCTTCTCTAGATCAGTCAGGTTTCTGGGCTGTCACTGAGAAACACGGAGTTTGAGCTCCCTCCAAAGATTCTCTATTGGGTTTAGGTCTGGAGACCGGCTAGGCCACGCCAGAACCTTGATATGCTTCTTACAGAGCCACTCCTTGGTTATCCTGGCTGTGTGCTTCGGGTCATTGTCATGTTGGAAGATCCAGCCTCGACCCATCTTCAATGCTCTAACTGAGGGAAGGAGGTTGTTCCCCAAAATCTCGCAATACATGGCCCCGGTCATCCTCTCCTTAATACAGTGCAGTCGCCCTGTCCCATGTGCAGAAAAACACCCCCAAAGCCTGATGCTACCACCCCCATGCTTCACAGTAGGGATGGTGTTCTTGGGATGGTACTCATCATTCTTCTTCCTCCAAACACGGTTAGTGGAATTATGACCAAAAAGTTCTATTCTGGTCTCATCTGACCACATGACTTTCTCCCATGACTCCTCTGGATCATCCAAATGGTCATTGGCAAACTGAAGACGGGCCTTGACATGTGCTGGTTTAAGCAGGGGAACCTTCCGTGCCATGCGTGATTTCAAACCATGACGTCTTAGTGTATTACCAACAGTAACCTTGGAAACGGTGGTCCCAGCTCTTTTCAGGTCATTGACCAGCTCCTCCCGTGTAGTTCTGGGCTGATTTCTCACTTTTCTTAGGATCATTGAGACCCCACGAGGTGAGATCTTGCATGGAGCCCCAGTCCGAGGGAGATTGACAGTCATGTTTAGCTTCTTCCATTTTCTAATGATTGCTCCAAAAGTGGACCTTTTTTCACCAAGCTGCTAGGCAATTTCCCCGTAGCCCTTTCCAGCCTTGTGGAGGTGGACAATTTTGTCTCTAGTGTCTTTGGACAGCTCTTTGGTCTTGGCCATGTTAGTAGTCGGATTCTTACTGATTGTATGGGGTGGACAGGTGTCTTTATGCAGCTAACGACCTCAAACAGGTGCATCTAATTTAGGATAATAAATGGAGTGGAGGTGGACATTTTGAAGGCAGACTAACAGGTCTTTGAGAGTCAGAATTCTAGCTGATAGACAGGTGTTCAAATACTTATTTGCAGCTGTATCATACAAATAGTTAAAAAATCATACATTGTGATTTCTGGATTTTTTTTTTAGATTATGTCTCTCACAGTGGACATGCACCTACGATGACAATTTCAGACCCCTCCATGATTTCTAAGTGGGAGAACTTGCAAAATAGCAGGGTGTTCAAATACTTATTTTCCTCACTGTATGTCAAAGGTCGCTTACCTCTGGAGCATTTAGTGGCTAAGTGTCTTGCTCAGTGGGAATTGAACCTGGGTCTCTCATACAAAAGGGTCTTATCCACTGCCCCATCGCCACTCTACAAGTCACCTGCAACAGTTTCCCCTATTAATAAAGGAATAACTTATTTTATCTTATACATGTTATCTAAGCCAGTAATGTGTTGTTTCAGATGGAAGTTTTATAAATCAATAAAATAGAGACACACATTGGCTTCTGTTGGATTTCAGAGCACTTTGTTCAGATGCATTATTCTCTACAGTATATAACTATATATATATTTAACACAGCCAGTATTGCTGTTAGATTATATCTGCTGTCATTTAGGAGAGATGTGTTAACTTTTAGTAAAGATGATGGTGATTTAGGACATTTAGGGCCCCAGCTAACTTTTTCACCATCTTTCCAAAACTCACAAGTGGGGGCGCTCTCTTCGTTCACCAGCAGCTCACTGACAAGACTGCTGCAGATGTGTCCGCAGACACTTTCTGTTTGTCAGCCTTTTGAGCACAGGTAAGGCCTATTATCTCAAAAATGCCAGATGTCGGCCTGATTAATCAGCCGAACGATTAATTGCTTTATCACTACCCAAAACATTGAGACACTGCTCATCAATAATGTATTGATGTAATACATTACATTGATGTAATTACTCCAGACTTCTTGTGCATCATTTAAAAATTTTAGCTTAACATTTGGATCTTGAATGGAATTTGTGGGTTGGAACAACATTACTTTGTAAATATATTATATGCTATCTATTATTATATGTATGTATTTTGTCTTTTTCTCTTTGCATTTTTATTGTCTATAAGTGTTTATATGTTTTTATAGTTATTACCCGTAATTGGCATCTACAGGTTTGCCCCAAACAACAATTCTCTGTACTTATACTTTAGAAAAAGAGATATCTATCTATATATCTAAATATGGACCTGCAGATATAACAAACACATTCACATGTATTAACAGTCATTAAATACATTTAAAGCAGCACACACAGGCTGAAAATACGTGATTTAAATTGAGTTTTTTTGCTTAAATATTTTTAAATTAGCTTAAACGATCTATGTAAGTATTCATGTCTTGTTGACTTGCTCCTCTGTGTTTTAGATTCACCTTCTGGGCTGCATTTTACACAGTTGTTGTGACACAACAATAACTTCTCTAAACATTTACACAGTGTTACCTCACATTCCCACATTTAACACTATCTTTTAAAATGACTTGTCTAAAGAAAATAATATTTAATCATCATCCCCAAATCGATGATCCTCCTCATAAACTGTATTCTGTGTCCTCGGTATGTGTCTAGTTAGTACCACATACCGATAGAGGAGCAGACTACATCTAGAGAGCAGCAGCGTTTAGACTCCACTTTGGAGAGCTCATGAGGACTATTTTAAAGAAGGTAGAGGGCCTGGGTTTAGATGCAGCTTTGTTTTTAACAGACTGTTTTTAAATGTTTGTATGACTTGCCACATCCCTATAAAGGAATACAGCATCACTGTTTGGGCCCTTGGAGGAGTCTTTAATCTATGTGGGCCCCTGCCTGACCCTCAGGACGACAGCGAACCTGGTCTCATCTGCAGGTTTCGCTCAGCTGGAACCTTTAAACTAAAGCACATAGTGGATGCTGCAGGACAGAGGCTTCACGACACGAAGGCAGTGACTTCAGTACAGTGGTTGTTTAAAGCCAGCAGGTATTTTAATTAAATTACAAGGAAGTTTAATTGTCCTGTTTCCCTTTTATATATATATATATATATATATATATGTATATATATATATATATATATATATATATATATATATATATATACATATACACACATACACACATACACTACATACAAGTGATTACACAATATAACAGTTCTCACTTTAAATAAAAGGTCTACATTAAAAATCACACTGAAGGCACAAAAAACATCATCACTGACATCCTCTTCACAAATCTCTGATAAAAATCAGTGCAAGTCTAATATAAAATTATAAAAACATCTTCATACAGAAGTTAATCTGCACTGATTGAGCAGTGTTATAAATGAGCAGGAGACTTTATGGATTTTGTTGTTTGGGTAATCAACAGAGAGATTTACAGCAGTCAGATCAGTTTCTCAGAACCAGCCTGAGATTTAAATCTTCGTACTTTTCATGATTTTAAAGTGATTGAAAGCTCTCATTATGTTGCTGATGTGACCAAGAGCACAACGTTATTAGGAATATTAGAACAGAATAAGAATAATCTAGTAAATAAATATACCCTGTTGCGTCTTTGGCACTGCTCTGGAGCGAGAGGGCTTATACACTCAGCTGGCAGTTTATTACAGCTAAACCTAATACACTCTAATACAACAGTCCTCCTTCATCAAGTTTATAATGTTTAGTTTTTGGCCCAATTGATTAAAAGGCCCATGAGGGACAGTGACAATTGCCACGTGGATCATGATCAGATGCTGTCATCCATTCATTCATACTATGTTGAAAGAGTTGCTGTGCTTTTCTTGATCACTTTTTGTGATCTGTTGTTATTGATACTGTGTCAGCTGCTTTTTGTTGATTTGATATTCAGAGACTGTGGTGGTTTGAGTCTGATTTTGCCTTCAATTGTGTGGCATCCGTTGTGTGTCTGTGTGTATACTAATGTGCTTTTTGGAGCGGGGGGGACACAAGAAATTATTTGCACCAGGACAAATCAGAATAATATTACGCTGCTGTCGTCCTCTCAGACGAGCCGTTTCCTGCAGACCCCTCCAGGTCCTCGTCTGCTGCTCGGTTGTTCAGCATTTCTCCTTCAGATCTGTTCAGACACCGTCTCTGGTTTTTGCTCTTTCCATCCTCCGAGCCTTTTCATGCACTTCTCTGAGAGACAGAAAAGTAGTTTGTGACAATAGTTAAAAGAAGAAGGTGTTTGTTGTTTTTTTACCTGCTGAGGAAATAGGTAAAGAACAAATTCATGTCTCACATTTCAGCCTGAGTAAATGGTTTTAATCTGCATTTGTTTGTAGCCTATTTGCTCTGGTTTTCTTAAAAGCAAAAAGCCACTGAGATGACGGTTACATTTAGTGGTGTTTCATTTACACTAACCTTTTGTCAAACATTGATACTCCCGTAATGGAGTAAACTTACTGTTTTTATGAATGGAGTCTGGTGGCTTTGACAAGAGCGATTTAGTGATTTAGTTTCTAGTTAAACAAAGAGGATCTCCGTTTCTCTGAAGGGATCCTTTCCATAGTGTTGACACTTGTAATAAACAAGCTGTCACTGGCAAAAACAAGCACTTTAAATTCGCCCTAGATTTTAAATGTTGTTTTGTAACTTACGGATTGTTCCGTGCATCTTCAGAAGCAGAACAACGATAACGAGGCAGAGAATGATGAAGACAGAGGAAATGATCCCAGCACGGCCAGCGTTCCTGTTTCCACCACCTGAAAATATATCAGAGAGGATGCTGAGTTTAGAAGAAGGGCAGGTTCAAGGTCGTGCATGTGGCATAACATTATCACAGCAGTGGTTTCATTTTCTCAGGGGCCGAAATGTCCTTCACCTTGATACACTGAAAATTTATTTTATTTGTGGTGCTCACAGTATTAACAAAATTGATTAAAAAAAAATCACATAAAATCAAAACTGTCCAAAACTTGATGTGTTAACTGTGTAAAAATGCTCACATTAAATGTTCAGACCTGCTGCACATTTCCACACAGCAGATCATCTTGCACTCAGAGAGAATAAAGTTGGACAAAGAAAGAAATATTCCAAGACATTTACCACGACCGTCTGGCTCGGTCTCTTCTTCCTCTGGAGGTCCAGTTGTGCTGGAATAATCTCTCTTTGTCTCGTTCTGCTGGTCTTTTCCCACCGTTTCTAATGAGAGAGGTCTAATTTAGGAACAACGTTATATACACTTTGAATTAAATGAACCTGAACAGTATTAAACTCAGCATGCTCACCAACAATGAGGTCAACAACACAGCTGGTCTCAGCTTTGGGACAAAGCCTTTGTAAAGTCCTCTGTCAGACAGCTTCACTGAGGAGATGTGCAGAGTCAGGACTCCTCTGATCAGGTCTTCATGGAGGAGAGTCGTCCTGCCTCGGTATTGATCCGTCTGTGGATCAGGATCGTCCTGTTGATGTCGATAGACGTGGACGATATCCTTGTTGTCAAGTCTCGTCCAGTCCACGGTGAAAGCAGACAGGCTGACCGGAGGATCCAGACGACACTGAAGAGTCACATCATCACCTTCTGCTGCCTTTATCAGCTGAGTCTGGTACATGGCAGGAGGCTCTCCTGAGGAAACAAACATTCTATTTAGACAGTTTGAAAGCCTCTGAAGAACAGCCATCTTTGCAGCATTTAAAATGATCGGGGGTTTAAACTCAGTGATCTCTGCCTCATCAGAACAGCACAGTTTGAGCTTGTGTGTCCACGCTGTTGTGTTATGTTATATTATTTAATTCCAAAGTCGACCTGGACAGGTCACCAGTCCATCGCAGTGTGGCAGGCAGGGCCACACATAAACAAACAACCACTCATGCTCACACCTAAGGACAATTTTAGGGTCACCAATTAATCTAGTCCTTGGATGGTGGGAGTACCTGGAGCACCCACGGGGAGAACATGCAAACTCCACACAGAAAGGGGCAACCGGGGGTTTGAACCCACAAGCTTCTTGCTGTGAGGTGACAGTGCTAACCACTGCACCACCATGCCGCACTATAGAGAATAATATAATATAATAATAGGCTATAACATACAATGTAGTGCGTGTTTGAGACTAATGTTCAGATTTACAGTAGCCTACAGTAACGTGTAAATAACCGGACCATCTTGGACAAACTTTTCTTTTCATTCATTCATATAATAGTTCAAAACTGCTTCTTGTCAAATAAGCCAATAAATACATCTCATATAGCCTATTCATTCAAAATATAAATAAAAATAAATATCAGCCACAAATATAAAATACTAAAAGAAAAGAAAAGAATATCAAATCAGTAAGAAAAGAACAATAAACAGTGACAGTTACTGCAGTAAACAGTAAAATACGACCAGGTTGAATATTACCTTTGACATTTCACTGAGCTGTTTTATCATTATATAACATATCTGATCCATTCCTGGTGCTGACAGCCTGGTTTTCTGAAGAGCGTGTTTTAGTTATGTCTTTACAAATGGTTTGTTTAGTAGGTCATTAGGCTTTTCTTCTTGCTGTAATAACTCTTCACCTTACTGTAGCTTCCCTCCCTCCTTTTCCCTTTTCACTAATATTATTTGATCTATGAATTGCAACAATTTTTTTATCCAGCATCTCTGCTTTCTCCTCATCTCTCACTGCTATTGTTTCTCCATCATTGAAGACAGGGTACCCATATCTCTTTTTATCCCATTCATTCTTTTTATCATCCTGAAACTGTCTCCCGTCCCACTGAGCAACATTTTCTCCAGTATTCTTTCTTTGCACTTTTTATGATTCTTCTGACATTTGCTTGTAACTTTTTATATTCAACAAGATTCTGAAAACAGTGATTCCTTTTGAACACTTTAAAAGCTTTATTACTAAATTTAATCGCTATTTTACATTCTTTTGTCCACCATACTATCTTATTTTTACGCTTTCCTGCCTTCTTCTTTATTGACTTCTCTGCAGTCTCTAGAACAACTTTACAAAATGAAAGATTTAAATGATCAACATCTTTATTTCTGTCAATTTATTCCATTTCTTGATCACTAATATTCCTAAATTTATCCCATTCAGCACTACTGAATGACCATTTCTGAAATCCTACTGTTTCATATTCCTCCAGACTCAATTCTACTAGTATTACAATAGGATAGTGGTCACTTCCTACTGTCTTCTATTTTTTTCAATTCAAAAACTTCAACATACAGACAGACAGTATAAGTACAGAGCGGTGAACTTGCCAGGGAAATAAAAACACAGCAAGGAAAATTTAGGGAATACATAAAAAGAAATAAATACAAACAAAATTAAAGGAGCAGGAAGCTATAAATCTACAAATACATTGTGTAAAGTACACAAATTCACCGTTTTAATACCTTTCTTGTTTTGGGATGAGTTTATTATTCCTATATTTAGATATAGTCTTCTAACTACTTCCCATGTGCAAATGCCAATGAATCTGTTAAATACAACATCCGGTTCCAGCCTCAAAATAAAAGCACTGCTGGACCTCCTCATCTGGTTACCCCAACTAACTTCACATATTAGACTGACATTGTATAGCCTAGAGAATAATATAATATAATATTACAATACTACATACACTGTAGTGCGTCAAGTGTTTCAGACCAATGTTCAGATCTGCTGTGCAGTCACATGTAATAACTGGACTCAAGTAAGAGACAAAGTAGTGGTGATGGAGCAGTGGATAAGGCGCATGCGTTTGGTGTGAGCGTTCAATTCCCCACTGTGACACATCCCCCATTGTGTCCCTGAGCAAGACACTTACCTCCTAGATGCTCTGACATGTAGCAATTGTAAGTCGCTTTGGATAAAAGCGTCAGCTAAATGTAAATGCAATGTAGTTCCGTGTCTTGACAAACTCAGACTGAAACTGTGTAAAACTCGCTCATGTTTAACTTTTTCATTCATGCAATATTTCAGAATGGGATCTCGGCAAATAAACTGACAGATAGGCCTATATCTCATCCAAGATTAAAAATCTGTCATAAACCTAAAACATGGAGCCAACAGAACGCATAATAATATTAAATCAGTAAAGAGAGATCATAAACTTACCCGTGACAGTTACCGCAAAGAGTAAAATAATTAGCAGCTTCAGTATTCCTTCCATTTGGAAGTTTTTACACAGTAAATGCACCAGCTTTCTCTGCAACACCGACCGACTAACCCGCGGCACAGCCCACTTGACAGGAACCACTTCGAAAACGACAGTCAAGCCAGCCTTCGCGCTGTCTGCGATGCGTGTTTTTTCTAGGCATCTAGGCACGATGTTACCGTAATGCCTAGAAAAAACACGCATCGCAAGACAGCGCGAGGGCTGGCTTGACTGTCGTTTTCGAAGTGGAGCCTGGCTTGATTTCGGCGTAGGTCTGTATATTCACTCTCTCTGCGTCTGATCATTGGTCAACAGTTGCAGCAGTCTGATGGCGTAACAGCGTGACTACAAAATAAAAGTCGGCCACACCTGTGAACTGAGAGGTTTTACCATAGGGTTTTACTTGTGACAGTAATGCCGCATTCAGACCAATTAATGAAGTGCGTCTAGAGAGCAGCAGCGTTCAGACTCACTGTGGAGACCTCATGAGGACCAGGGGAGAGCCGCGACGATTGAAACACTTTTCACTATACGTCATTTTGAAATATAACTTTACAAACACAAATCATTTGTTGTTGTCATCAACAACTCTACCCTACTGACTAATCTGTCATGTGATCATGACGATGGCACAAGAAACACAACTCGTCATTGAAAAAAATTGATCGCTTGAGTGAATTTACTTTCCATGATTGAAAACAGCTTCTTTCGTATTACTCCGTGAAAGTGTGACGTATCCACCTGATTTGTCCCGGTTCTGTTAAGCACTGTGGACTGTATGTGCTGATGAGGTAGTTTGGCATATCAGACTTGTATGGGCTCCGAGAAAATCGCTGTGTTTCATTCGTCCTCCTCTATTTTGAGCTTTAACCATATATTCTATATATTAAATGCTGAACTGCAGAAAAACGTATGGTTAATACACAGAAGCTCCCTGCTGTAAATTGACCCTGTCACTTCTGCTACACAACAATAATTTTCACCAACGTCCACCGTTACAGTGAGAATAGGTTGTAGTCGGTTTTGTCCAATAGATGGCGCCATTGGATAAATGATTGTTGGGATTACAAGCAAAGTTGCAGAGAGGCAGTTTGAAGATGTAGCCTACTCAGATCCAAAGTATCAATATCATAATGTAAAAATACTTTAGTTTAAATGCTAAAATAATCCATCAAGAATAAATAAGAAACGTGATAAAGAAAGTGAAGAAAACTGATAAATTACTTGAGAGGGGGGAGCTGTGAAAACATGCAACTGTTTTCACACCCGTTTAAAGCTGGTATCTAAATTCTTACCAACCAGTCAACACATGTGTTTTCATGCTACATCTTTTTTAGTTTGATTTACAGAGGAACCTTTTGAAACACAAAGACAATGACATCGTTTTTATTTTTAGCCCAACTTCTCAGCAAACATAACTTTCATAATTAATACTCTAGGTAAATAGGCTTATTAAATACATAAAATGACATGGCTTAAAGATTACCCTCCTTTTATATTTTTCAAACTTCACTTAACTTTGTGCAATATTTCAAAACAACTTCTGCAGATAAATTCATCTCGTAAAAGAAATGAGGCGTCAGTCAGAAACATATATGAGCGCCTTACAGAATATTAAATCAGTGGCCTAATAAAAAGGACTTAGTAAACAAAAAAGTCAGTAAAACAGTAAAATAATGAGGAGCTTTTACTGATCCAGATGACCCACAAGAGGCTGTGACACACAAGAAATTAAATTTGTATCAAGGTGGAGGCAGAAATCTCAAACAAAACCATCTGAATGATTCGATGTCCTCGAACAAACTGAGAAAATGTTTGGTAATGAGAAAAACAACAGTAGGCTAATGTTGGTGAAAGTAAAAATAGCAATTTAATATCAGTGGACAGTGATAAGAGAAACAGAGCAAGTGCTTTACAGTACAGAGGATACAATAAAATGTAAAGTTCAACATGAGAGAAAAAGATTGTAAAAATACAATAAAAACACATTCAAATACTTAATTTGACCAAAATGACACAAACCAATCAAACTAATGTCAGTTCTCAGAGTTTCCCTGGAAGTTTGTTTCAGAGAACAGGACCAAAGCTAAAACGGAGAGTTGGAATAGTTTAAGGCGTCAGATCACAAGAGCCTGGACCAGAACCTGAGCTGAGTCCTGGGTGAGGAACAGACGTATCCTCCTGATTGTGTGGAGGAGGAAGCTGCAGGAGCAGGTTGGCCCTGCGATGTTGGCAGAGAAGCACAGATGGTCGTCCAGTGTCACATCCAGGTTCCTTGTAGCCCGAGCCGGGGACCCACAGAGTTCTCAACGGGCCCCATGAGGAGGTTTAATGGCTGTTTCCTCAGTAAAAACTTTGGTAAAACTGGTGAGGTCAGTGTGCTTTTTGATCGTTGAGGTGATGAACGGCAGCCATCGTCCTCTCAGACCATGTTTCTCAAACAGCTTCCTGCAGGCCCCTCCAGGTCCTCGTCCGCTGCTTGGGTGTTCACCTTTTTCATTTCAGATCCGTTTGGCGTCGTTAAAATGTCTGTGCACATAAAGCAACATATGTTAAACATTTAAAACCATAGAAAATAAATCAGTATCACTGGTAATCTTCTTTTTTCAGAGTCCTCCTGGACTTCACATGTTGTTTTCTAACTTACGGATCGTTCCGTTCATCCTCAGAAGCAGAACAACAACAACAACAACAACAACGCAGAGAATAACAAAGACAGAGGAAATGATCCCAGCCCGGCCAGCGTTCCTGTTTCCACCACCTGAAAAGATTTAAGAGAAGATGCTGAGTTTAGAAGAAGGGCAGGTTCAAGGTCGTGCTCTGCTCTAACATTGATGCATCAGAATTAACAAGCTAATAATGTCAGACAGACATCAGTCACAGGGGACATTTTACAGCACAACCAGTACTTTTGATACTTTAAGTACATTTTGCTGATGATACTTTTGTGCTTAAACACAGGACTTTTAATTGTAATAGGGTAATTTTCACTGTCATACATTTGCACTTCCACCACTCTGAGTGACGTTTAGAAATGCTCACATTAAATGTTCAGACCTGCTGCACATTTCCACACAGCAGATCATCTTGCACTCAGAGGATAAAGTTGAACAAAGGAAGAAATATTCAAAGACATTTACCACGACCGTCTGGCTCGGTCTCGTCTTCCTCTGGAGGTCCAGTTGTGCTGGAATAATCTCTCTTTGTCTCGTTCTGCTGGTCTTTTCCCACCGTTTCTAATAATAGAGGTCTAATTTAGGAACAACGTTATATACACTTTGAATTAAATGAATCTGAACAGTATTAAACTCAGCATGCTCACCAACAATGAGGTCAACAACACAGCTGGTCTCCAGCTTTGGGACAAAGCCTTTGTAAAGTCCTCTGTCAGACAGCTTCACTGAGGAGATGTGCAGAGTCAGGACTCCTCTGATCAGGTCTTCATGGAGGAGAGTCGTCCTGCCTCTGTATTGATCCGTCTGTGGACCAGGATCGTCCTGTTGATGTCGATAGACGTGGACGATATCCTTGTTCTCAAGTCTCGTCCAGTCCACAGTGAAAGCAGACAGGCTGACCGGAGGATCCAGACGACACTGAAGAGTCACATCATCACCTTCTGCTGCCTTTATCAGCTGAGCCTGGTACATGGCAGGAGGCTCTCCTGAGGAAACAAACATTATATTTAGACAGTTTGAAAGCCTCTGAAGAACAGCCTGGTGTCTGCAAAAGCCACAAACCTACTTGCCCTCATAGTTTAAATGAAGTGGGGATGCCACCAAAGCATTGGTGTAGTTTAGTTTTTCTAGTGAGTATATTGTGATTTTTCCCTCCCAGCCTCATACTCGTCCCAGAGCGACGTCCCATAAGCATCACTACACTCACTAATACATACAGTATGCATGTACATAGAGAGCATTCTGAAGGACTGCTTAGGCTGTGTGTTATCAACACTGCAAAGACTTTAACAGCCGATGAAGGTTACAGGTGGGAAAGGGCGTCACTTTGAGTTGAACAGTGGTGGGGACATTAAAGGGCTCAGATTACAGTTGTGACAAAACACTTAGCATAGAGACGTGACAATCCAGAATATTGGGGTCAAGAGAACAAGACTAGAATATATTTTAATGCTATTTAAAGACATATTCAGTGATGAAAATACATAAAGATTATGAGTATTAAACACTTAATTTCCTGCATTTTGGAGACATTTCTCTGCACCAAATTATGGTGGAAATGTATTCATTTATTCAAAGCGAACACCAAATTCAGGTAGCAGGTGACAATATAATTTAATATAATGCAGTAATCAGTAAATTGTTTTGTTTTTTTAGCTAAAGTAGTTTTTTGGCATAATGCAGATCTGATTTCTCTATATTTACATTGCATTGCATGTTTTCTTATGCCAAAAAAACTTTCTCATAACACTTACATTTGTTATTTAACATTTCTTGTTGCAAGCTATTTTTCAGAACATTTTTAACAAATGCCTCAAATCTCAGTTCTGTGTTTCGCAACACAGACGGGGTGAATTTATGAATGAACGTGTGAAAGTTCTGTCACAAAACGATGTTGTTACGTATCATCCCGCTATTTTAAGCGGGTCTACGGAAATCTTTGACCGTTCTTATAGGCTGCGTATCACGTACACTACACCACTGCATCAATGACCAACCCACAAACTGCTCAACCCACTCCCGGTAGCTGGCCTCCAGGGTGTATGAGAACATTTCCACCTGCTGCTACCAAGTGATCACATAAGCACATATAAACACAGCTGATTTAATGAATATCACGCGTTAATCACATTTGCGACTCATGATGAAATGCTGCATAAAAAACATGACGTTAAAACACACGAGTCCAACTACTCCAATAAGGTTTATTATTTATGTCCGCAAAAATATTTGTAACATGTAACATGTTACAAAAGCCTCTACATGCAGAACTTGCTGAAGAGGTATTGGATTTAATAACAACATGCAGGTTTCCAGGGGTTTCATACCGAACCTTTGCTCAATAGTAAAACCACTGCTGACAGCAGAAACATATTAGTGGAGCTCCCACATATACGGCCTCACCCTGTAACATAATCTAACTAAGACCTTTCCCACAACCGAATAACTTTCCTCCTTCTCTCCTTGTCGGAATCTTTTCAGTCTTCTTCAACACTCTGAAACTCTGCTTCCACTGACAGTGATACACCACCTAACGTTATCGCTCCTTTTAAATTTCTGACCCGAATGGGAAGCAGTTCATAAAGCTATAATCTCCATATTCTTTATTCCTCAGTGCTTTATCTCTATCTTGACCGACTGCACATCTACAAACCAACTTATCACAAGATATTTTAAAACCGTTCAATCTTGTGTAGCTAGTAGGATAATCTCAAAAACAGATAAATAGCCTAATTATTTCAAGTTTTGCATATTTTCAGGTTACTTACCACTGCAGACAGTGAACCTCGGGTGTATCCTTCCGCACTTTCACCATATAGGCTATCTCCTGAATCACATTAACTTTAGGCTCGAACTATTGGTCTAAATTATTGAGTAGCCAACAACATCCTACCAATTTTCCAATCCCTGGTTCTGGTTTGTGTTGACAAACGATGTGTAGAGCTTCAATCCCAACTAACACAACACGGTCCACGCAAGCACTTCCTCGTCTTTGTCGAGCTCGGTCGCCGTTCTGTAGCTGGATCCTCCGCCTCCACTCAGGCCTGAACTCCCGATGACTGAAATCAAAGTTGTCGCCATGGTCGACTTCTTACAATATACAATGTTTAAAGACCAGTCTGTGAACGCGCTCCCGGCTGGATTGACGTCACATAAAAGAGGCGGTGTTAGCAGCAGATGACCAATCACAGACACGAACAAGTCCACTGTCAGAGGAGCGTCATATTTTATGAACGAGGATTAAACTGTAACACTACAGAAATACGACAGTAGCACGCCTGCAGCTGACACATGCAGGGAGACAGAAATGAACAGTAGTCTATAATATTGCGTTGACTTTTATGAGCTGTGGCCTAGCCTGTGAAAATATCAGCCTTATTCTTTCAACTCTGCTGTGTCGGCGTTTCCACATTAAAAGGGTCGTTCCACCTCACTTTAAAAATGAGATTAATTTATTTAACACACTCAAAAGTGTTTCAAACATTGTTCTAAATTAACTTCATAAAGCAATGAAACGAAGCTCCATTCATGCCATGAAATGTGCTCAAATAGCGGCTGAAAGACTGAATCTCAACATTTATGCTGCTGAAAACTCAGGTGGGGAGGAACATGACTACAGTCTCTGTGGTAGGCCTTTGAAAGCTATACTAGCCTAAATAGATAGCCCACGTTCATATTAAAATTTAGTATTTCAATATCCCTACCAAACTGCTCATAATATTCAGCCTCACATAAGAAAAATAAAACCTAGGCCTATTTATTTTAACGGCTGCGTCAGGGTATGTGAAACGAACTGGGAGCAAATATTAAACACATTTCAAAGCAGTCAATAGGCTCAGCCTACTGTAAAAACCTGTAGGCAATATAGCCTAAGGCTTTCAATCAGTCTCTGTAGGATGATATCGGTATAGCCAAGAGTTTCTCCAAATCACCGCTGCAAACATAAAGCAGCTTGTTGGCTGAAAGAGTCTGTGGGATTTTCCGACAGATGGTGATGTCATTTTCCAAGAGAGCTGATTAGTCAGTAGGCGGCCTTTTCATAGAGTTGATCTCTTATCTGGAACATAACCTCCGGAGCAGGTTAGCCCTTCAGCATAAGTTACCATGGTGATCTACGCCAGTAAGAAGTCAACCACCGTCGTGATGCTGAAAACCCAGGATTAACCCGGAGTTACCTGGATAAGCTCAAATCCTACTTCGTGGTACAGACCCCAGACCTGTTAAATTTTAAAAAGTTACAACAAACTTAATGTACTGTTCCTTCATACGTAAAACTGCAGGTTTTTAGGGCAGACAATTGCAGAATGTTAATTAAACCATTGTTTTTTGAAATCATTATTGCGAACATGCAAGTGAAAGTAGGCTGTATAAAAAACAACAATAAAAAAAAACAATGTTAAAAAACATAGGAGAATAAAACAACAGATGACAGATAACACATTGTTCATATCCTAATTGGGTGACGAAGACGTAACCAAACGACCATTGGCTATGGTCCTGAGCCATTTGGAGGAAAAAGGACCGGAACATACCCGTAGGATATTAACAACATATTTTGATACAATCGGGACTGTCAGCTTTGAATCAGTGAGTCAAAGCAACTTCCCGGTCTACTGCTGTGCGGCAGTAGGCTATTTGGTGACTGGAAACTTCAGATCTTTACAGAGAAGCTTCTTCAGTCCACTGCAGTGTTTTTGTTTGTTCTGTAATGTTATCTCTGTATTCACTAATTTTTTAATTAAATATTTTTGTTAATTTTCATTGGACCGAGCCTCTCCTTGATCAAAATCCGTTAGGCTATTTGCAACAGATCCAACTTTATCTGCATGAGCTGCTCCTCTCAGTAGACTATAACTTCAGAGGGAAAAAGTCTACCGCTCAAATAAGCCTAAATAGTAGCCTATATTTAAAAAGCAATGTGGTGCATTAAGTGTTTGAGACCAATGATCAGAAACAGGCTCAAGACAGTCGGACTGAACATAAAATGTCTGGGCTGTAGAGCAACTACAATCATAGATTCCGGTTTTCACAAACGCATTAGACTGAAGCTCACTTCACATCGTTGCAATGCAATGATGCATGCAATATTTCAGGATGAATTCTCGGCAAATAAGCCGATAAACACATCTCATACAAGATTATAGGCCTAATTCTGACATCAGCTCTAAACATGGAGCCTACAGTAAACATAAATAATATTAAATCAGTAAGGAGAGAACAAGAACGTACCTGTGACAGTTACTGCAAACAGTAAAATACTTAGGCCCAGCGATCCAGGAACTTCCATTAGGCTTTATGTTGAGGCGTCTGTTCTCACAGTTACAGTCTATGCTTTCTTTTTCTTCTTTCTATGCCCTTTTATCCTCCCCCCTGGGAGGAGTAGGCTACGATGAGGCCGTGGGACACACTGTGGGAAAACGTGTAAACTCACTTTGCTTGAGTTATTGCGCAATACAAGCAAGAACGCATCGCCTCAAACTGTCAGCAACGTGTTGCTGGTGGCAAGTCTTTCTTCCGAGTGCACAAGTCCGCTCAGGTGTGGCTGCTCAGGTGTGGCGCCAACTGAGCAAGTTCATTCTTCAGAGGACTAGCTACTGTCACCTGTGAATTGTCACATGCAGGAATGTTAAAAAAAAAAACATGCGCATTATGATGTTAAGTGTCAGATAAGTCGGCTTGCTGCAGTTAAATATCTAAGAAAGAGACGTCCTCTGTCCCTGAAGAAACCTCTAGGACGCAAGTTAATTAGTATGATGACCTTGTGGTGAACCTATAAACCAGTTAAATTTAAACAATTGTTGCTTTGTGTTGTTGGCCACAAATAATGACAGAGAAAAGAAAAACAACAAGTAGCCATTAGTACAAAAAGTCATGGCAATTTGGTAACATCACAGTCTACATGCTATAATAGTAGGCTAATGAGACTCCACTATGTGTACACACACGAGCACAATTTTGGCTGTATAGGCTGTTTGTGTCCCCTTCAAAAATTGCTCTTGAAAAATATTATGTTTATTTTACCCCTCTCTCGTTGGATGAAATTCACGCGCATGGCCGAAAATCAGATTATTTACTGCTTAATTAACATTTGATCAGCTCTCCCTATTTATACAGTTTGATATAACGTGCGTAAGGTCGAATTCAGCCGACAAAACGTAGCAACACGCTGAACGCCCTGTTTGTACGAGAGCGCACTGCAATGCATTTCCTTTTCACTATGGCATAACTCCTTTTAAGTGAAACGTCTGATAATAGTTGATACCGCTGTGTTTACATACTAGTCGCAGCTGATTGGGTACCCCCTCTCAATTTGTTCAGATTAGAGTTTCAGCTTCTGGTTGAGCACACATGAAAACATAAAATAAAGTTGTCTCCACTCACCAGAAATGAAAACAAAGTAAAATATTTCAATCTAATCAACGTAACATGGTTATGCTAATACAACAGCACATTAGCATACTGGAAACTGGGAGGGAGTGGTGAAAAAGGTGGAGGGGAGGTTAACTAAATGGAGATGTTGCTGCCATAAAATATAGACTATTTTAAATAAAGACTAGACTTTGGATGTCTCCCTTTTTCAATTGCAGGGTCACTGAGTCTGTACTTGGTAAGAAGCTGCCTCTGCTTGGTATCTCTGACAGTCATTTCATAATCTCTGTTTATGGCCAGATAACAATCTTGTGTTGGTTTTTTGTCTCTTCCTCCCAATGTTCCAAAATAAGTGGAAGTAAAATAATTTGTAATTTGTAAAGCAAGGTTTGAGAAAGGTGTGGCATGTTGCAGAATGTTTCTCCCACGCTCTCTCTGTCTCTCTCTCTCTCGCGCGCACACACACACACACACACACTCTCAAATCAATTGTCACGTTTAAGTTTAAACATGTTACCAAAGCAGAAAGTAATATCACTCTCTTTCTCTCCAGCTCCACACACACTACATTTCCCTGAAGCTGTATTAAATGGCATTGAAAGTAACTCAAGCGTAGAGTAAAGCATTAAAATTCAGAGACAGCAATATTGTAATATTACTGATACACTCTCAAATGACTAACTATAATGTATTACATTTTGGATGTAACTTGTCAAACACTGCCGGGGTCTTTACAAGTGTTCCTTCCATGATCACGTCAATCAGTCGTAAAAGCAGAGTGTCGGTGATCACAAATAGATTGAGGGGAGGTTAACCAAGTGGAGATGTTGTTGCCAAAAATATTTGAGTTTTAACCATCAATAGTGACCTCTATCTTCTGGCATAAGTCATGTTGGCTTCTGTCATGTTTGGAAGCCCCCACCGGATTGTGACAAAAAGTACCGTCTATTCTGTTGATTTGTTTTTGGGACGACCTGCACTGGGTACCACAGACCTACAGAAAGAGTCTGTCTACAGAGCAGCAGCGGTTAGACTCATGAGGACTGTTTTAAAGTTTCACCCACGATTCTGGAGCATTAAATGCTGAACTTCAGACAAACATTCAAGGTTAATTCACAACAGTCCCCTGCTGTACATTTACATTAGTGTCCCTGTTGCACCACTAGGTGGTGCTCTTTACCAAGGCTATGTTTCAAGAGAAGAGCAGGCGATGTGAATTGTATAGCTACAAAAGGTCATATTGCTGCAGCCGACTAGTGTTCTGAAATATTATTGGTGTTTGTTTATCATTTGTAAAGGTTTAGTCCTTTGATTGTTGTTAACTGAGTATTGACTCACCTACTTTGTTCTGTTATGAATAGGAAACACATGCAGGCCACATAATGGGGAATATTCTGTGTCCTAAACTGTATTATTTATTTCTGTAGTATTTCTGCAGAACAAACAGAAATTCACCAATCTGATCTAAAGTCTGTTTAAGTGTCCCGTGTTCTGCTGTGAACACTTGGGTCCTGTCAACTGCATTCTGACAGATGTACCAGAGTGAATGATCAACACAAGAGTCAGCCAGTGTAGTGCTCCATTTTAAAGGGGGGAAAGTCTGCCGCTCAAACGCTTCTTAGCTTGTGCTAACAACAACTTCCTACGATGGAAAACTCGGGCAAAGTGGAGCTCCTTAGGCAGGAAGATAAGGACGTGGTAGCTATTAACGAAAAATGTAACATAAGAGAGATTCACTGCTACGCTTGTCAAGCCTAAAATGATGAAGAATGCGCTTCTTCTCAGAACACGCCAGTGAAACGACCAACTAAAAAGACTAAAGGTAACCAAAAAGAAAACACACTCCTGCAAGGCGTTGACGTTAAACGAGAAGCCAACACTCACTGAGCTACAAAACACCATAATTACAGCCGTCTTTGGGAAGATAAACGAAAGAGCTGACCAAACTGATAAGGCTGTCCACTAGGCTACAATATAGTTCAGACAGACGGTCTTAAAAAGTCGCTGGACTTTTGCCATAAGGAAATAGTGGATTTGAAAAAAACAGAACATTGCTCTCAGAGACAAATGTGAGCAACTCCAGAAAAAAAGTCACAGAGATGGAACTTAAAGTCAATGAAGTCGATCGTTACAGCCGACGTTATAACTACCGCCTTCACGGCGTTCCTGAAAAAGAAGAAGATAACATCACGAGTCCAAGACATCTGTCGGGCCGTGCTACCTGTCTCCGAGTCCGAGAAGATAGTAACTGCAATAGATGTGGTCCATAGAATCGGCAGACCCAAAGATGGAGGATCCAACCAGTCGGTGCGACCAGTAATTATCAGGTTCCTGTCACCAGAGATGTGTTGTGGAGAGGATCTAAGAACAACAACTACCTGAAGAACAACCGACTCCACTTCAAGGAGGACCTGACTTCAGATGACAGAAACACTCGCGGTCGTTTATGGCCAGCTGTGGAGGCAGCAAGAAAGAGAGGAGAAAAGGCATTCTTCGTGGGAAATAAGGCATTCATAAACGGGAAGGAAATTAAAATGGACTGAAAGAAAACCACTCAAAGATACTAAGCAAAGTGGATAAATATTAATGTGCTCTGGGTAAGGTGTATCATTATAAAATTTATGCCTCCAATAACTTAATAATAATAATAATAATAATAACTTTAATAAGAACTACTGAAAATTTAATAAAACACTATTAGAAAATAAGGATTTTAAAAATGAAGCCCAAAAATAATTGACAAATATTGGAGCGAAGCAAATTTATTGAACGAGTTAGGAAAATGCTGGGAATAAATGAAATACATTCATTCAGTCATTTGGGAAACGGTTTGCTAAAGCAAATAAAGAAAGATCTCCGGATAATTACAAATATGATAAGATTATTAGAGAAAGTACATTTATCAGCAGTTACCCACCCAAAACCCTACGCAGAGTCGCAGTCTAACACACTTCTCTGCCCTTCTTTTTCAGTAGTTACCCACCCACATCCATTGGCTTCTCTCAGAGTGTTCATGAACCGACTCACTGTTTTAACCACACCCTCGACCTTTTTCTGGTATTGAAATTTAATAGTGTTCTCACAGAATCCCTCTTTATCTGACCGCTGTTTGATAACTTTTGAGTTTGTATTGCTGAACTAAACACCATTGGGCAAAATTTTTTATACAAGATGTCTGTCTGATAGTGCCATAGCTAAATTTAAGGATGCGATTCCATCAGCTCTAAATACATTATCTAGTCACAAAGTAACAGAGGACTCCTATGCAAATTTCAGTCCCTCCCAAATCGATCATCTTGTTGATAGTGCTGCAGGCTCGCTGCGAATGACACTCGACTCTGTAGCCCCTCTAAAAAAGAAAATACTAAAACAAAGACGGTTAGCTCCATGGTATAATACTGAAACTCGCAAATTAAAGCAAATATCACGGAAACTTGAGAGGAATTGGCGTTCCACCAAAGTGGAAAATTCTCGTTTAATTTGGCAAGATAGTCTTAAAACTTATAGGAAGGCCCTCCGTAATGCCAGAGCAGCGTACTACTCGTCATTAATAGAGGAAAATAGGAACAACCCCAGGTTTCTTTTCAGCACTGTAGCCAGGCTGACAGAGAGTCACAGCTCTATTGAGCCAAGTATTCCCATAGCTCTCAGTAGTTACGACTTCATGAGCTTCTTTAATGATAAAATTCTAGCTATTAGAGACAAAATTCACCAAGACCTGCCCTCAACTGGCACCGACTTATCTCTTAACTCAGGAACCTTAGAAACAGCTGTAGAACCAGATACATGTTTAGACTGTTTTGCTTCCCTCAATCTTTACCAACTAACTTCAATAATTTCTTCATCTAAACCATCAACCTGCCTCTTAGATCCCATCCCGACTAGGCTGCTTAAAGATGTTTTACCCTTAGTCAGCACCTCTATACTAGATATGATCAATCTATCTCTATCAACAGGCTATGTACCACAGTACTTTAAAGTAGCTGTAATTAAACCTCTTCTGAAAAAGCCCAAACTTGATCTGGATGTTTTAGCCAACTATAGACCTATATCTAACCTTCCATTTCTCTCTAAGGTCCTGGAGAAAGCAGTTGCTAAACAGCTGTGTGACTTTCTACAGAGCAATAGTTTATTTGAGGATTTTCAGTCAGGATTTAGAGCTCATCATAGCACAGAGACAGCACTGGTGAAAATTACTAATGACCTCCTTATTGCATCAGACAAAGGACTTGTCTCTGTACTGGTTTTATCGATCAAACCAGATGAAACTCATCAGTTAGCTAAACTTCAAATGTGCCTTCAGGATGTTAAAACCTGGATGACCTGTAATTTTCTCATGTTAAACTCAGATAAAACTGAAGTTATTGCTCTGGGGCCTAAGCACCTCCGTGACGCATTATCTAAAGATATAGTTTCCCTGGATGGCATCGCCTTGGCCTCCAGCACCACTGTGACGAATCTTGGAGTTATCTTTGATCAGGACATGTCATTTAAGTCTCACATTAAGCAAATTTCAAGGACCGCCTTTTTTCACCTACGTAATATTGTGAAAATCAGGAACATCCTGTCTAAAAATGATGCAGAAAAACTAGTCCATGCATTTGTTACTTCTAGGCTGGATTATTGCAATTCCTTATTATCAGGCTGCTCGAAAAAGTCCGTTCGACTCTTCAGCTGATCCAGAATGATGCAGCACGTGTTCTGACAGGAACCAGGAAAAGAGATCACATTTCTCCTGTTTTAGCTTCTTTGCATTGGCTTCCAGTAAAATCCAGAATAGAATTTAAAATCATTCTTCTTACCTACAAAGCTCTTAATGGTCAGGCACCATCTTATCTTAAAGAGCTCATAGTACCTTACTACCCCACCAGAGCACTGCGCTCCCAGAATGCAGGGTTACTTGTGGTTCCTAGAGTCTCCAAAAGTAGACTAGGAGCCAGAGCGTTCAGCTAACAAGCTCCTCTCCTGTGGAACCAGGTTCCAGTTTGGGTTCAGGAGGCAGACACCATCTCCACATTTACAGTTTTTTCTGAATGCTTAAGCGCTAATCGTGATTCTTGTAGCACAATTTCTAAAACTATTAATACGTATAGCAAAACCACTCACTGAGTTTGCAAAACTAAAAGCACAAACACTGCTTTGCACTCAGTTTGCAATTTTGTAACACACACTTTGCAAAACTGTAGGCACAACTCACTGCTTACACTCAATTAACAAATTTCCAACACACTCCTAGCAAAATTATACTCATGTATGGCTATTATTAACACTATTTTGCCAACTGTCTGGCACACTTTCACATGTGAAAACTGTTTTAGATAATTAGTTCACTTTGCAATCAGCCTAAGCACTATAAATAAGCCACAGGTAAGCTGTCTGTGTGGAGTACAATGGAACGAGTAGTAAGAGTGAGAAGAGTGAGAATCAGAGGACGTGGAGGTGAAGAAGTTGGAGGAAGAGGACGTGGAGGTGAAGAAGCGAGAGGGTTAGAGGAAGTTAGAGGAAGAGGACGAGGAGGGGAAAGAGGAAGGGTAAGAAGAGTAAGAAATAGAATAACTGATGACATCAGAGCTACAATAGTGGACCATGTCATCAACCATGGGATGACCCTGAGGGAAGCTGGCCAACGAGTTCAGCCTAATTTGAGCCGCTACACTGTGGCAAGCATCATTAGGACATTTCGAAATGAGAATCGGTAAGTACTTTGTAGCACTGCCATACTCTAATGAGAAACACAACAGTACCATACATGCAAAAATACTGAAATTGTTACTTTACAGAATTGCTAGATGTCCACATGTTGGGGGCAGAGGAAGAATGTTCACTCCAGAGCAAGAGACCCATATAGTGAACATGGTGATTGCCAATAATGCAATAAGACTGCACGAAATACAGCAGCACATAATTGATAATGACACCATCTTTCAACTATACACAGTGTAAGCATTTCTGCACTAAGTCGTGTACTTGCGCGCCACAGAATAAGAATGAAGCAAATTTAGTTCCTTTCGAGAGAAACACAGAACGTGTAAAGCAGCTGCGATATGACTATGTGCAGGTAAGCTATAGTGTCATTGGTTCTGAATTTGGAAGTGCATACTGTAGTGCTACGCATGGGCCTGATATGTCATCATATGGGACAATGTTAGTTTCCATAGGGCTGCTTTGGTCCGCAACTGGTTTACAGACCACCCATTCTTCATGGCACTCAACCTCCCTCCATACTCTCCATTCTTAAATCCCATCGAGGAGTTCTTCTCTGCCTGGCGCTGGAAAGTGTACGACCGTCATCCTCATCAACAGGTAGCCCTTTTACAGGCAATGGAGGAGGCATGTGGAGATACTGACCAGGCATCATGTCAGGCCTGGATACGGCATTCAAGGAGATATTTTCCCCAGTGCCTTGGACTGGAGGATATCACATGCGATGTGGACGAAATTTTGTGGCCGGACCCAGAAAGACGACATGATGTAGGCTGATTGTTTTTTTTTGTTTTGTTTTTGTGAAATTACTATTTTGTGTTCTGACTTTGTCTTGGTTTTGATGAGTGTGAATAAACACCAATACTTGAAGTTTGGATCCTTGTATGTTTACATGACACTATGACAAAAGTATGACCTCAAATTGACATCTGTACACAGAGAAACCAAAAGCCAGATGTTTTGTATTCATACCATCAGTGTGTAGTTGGCACATTGTGTGCTTAGTAGATGATGGCTTGTGTTTACTGTTTGATACGAAAACACCATTTTTACGAAGGTGTGAAGTTAATCAAGCTGTGTTCGCTTTTGCAAGAGAACTACAATGTTTTGATAATTGGGTGAAAGGTTTTCTATTTGTGTGTAGAGTTTTGCAAAAATAGCCAATAGTTACAAAAAATGTGCTTAAGCAATCAGAAAAAACTGCAAGAGTAGGCTTAAGACTTTCCTCTTTGATAAAGCTTATAGTTAGGGCTGGCTCAGGTGAGTCCTGAACCATCCCTTAGTTATGCTGCTATAGGCCTAGACTGCCGGGGGATTTCCCATGATGCACTGAGCTCCCCTCTCCTCTACTTCCTCTCCCTCTGTATGCAACCTTATCCCATTATTGCATGTTACTAACACAACTTCTCCCCTTTCTGGTAGTCTTGTGCTTTCTCTCCTCTCTCCTATCACTTCCTGCAGGTTTTCTGGCTCTGGAGCTGTGGAGTCTGGATCTGTGGTTGCGGGTCACCTGCTGCCCCTGTGTTCCTGCTCGACACCCTCTGCTGCAAATATTGTTACTAGTCTTATTGTTATTATTGTTATTATAATCATTAACATTATGATTGTTACATTAACACTACCATAAATATCTGTACCATTTTTCATTTAGTTTATAGCAACATCACCTTTACTGTCTGTACCTCTGTGTGTATATTGTGTAGGCTGCCTCCCTCCCCTCTCTCTCTCTCTCTCTTGCTCTCAATTCAATTCAATTCAAATTAGCTTTATTGGCATGAATGTAATAACAACATTGCCAAAGCATCATATATACACAACAAGCACTCTCTCCCTCTCTCTCTCTCTCTCTCTCCTTCACCCCAACCGGTCGAGGCAGATGGCCGCCCACCCTGAGCCATGGTTCTGCTCGAGGTTTCTGCCTCTGAAAAGGACGTTTTCCTTGCCTCTGTCTCCTAGTGCTGCTCTTGGTGGGAACTGTTGGGCTTCTGTAAATAGCATCATAGAGTACGGTCTAGACCTGCTCTTTTATGAAAAGTGCTGTGAGATAACTGTTGTGCTGATTTGGTGCTATATAAATAGAATAGAATTGAATTGAATTGAACTGAATTGAAGAACTGCAAGAACTGTCATCTCTACAACTTGAATTGAACACAAAATATGAAGAAAAGGCCAGAGGTGCCTTTGTCAGATCCAGAAGAAAGTCGCTAGAACAAGTTGAAAAATGCACAAAATACTTTTTTACAATGATCACTTTGTAAATTTGAATCAATAACATAGAATGTGAAGATGAAAGAACAATTTTGCACTATGTAGCCAATTTCTATCAGACGTTATATGCTACCGATTCTGAAAATGAAGGCAATATAGATATGTTTCTTAAAGACATAGAAAAAAGCATTAAGGGTATTGATGGCAGTTTTAAATCAGTCTGTGACCAGAAAATTAGTTTAACAGAGATACAAAAATGTATTGACTCTCTTAAAGAAAATAAATCTTCTTGTAATGATGGGTTGATAAATTTTATAAATTCTTTATTAAGAGCGTAGCCCCATTTTTAGTGTCTGTATTTGAAGAAGCCATAGATAAAGGAGAGCTACCACCTACCCTGTGTCAAGGTCTTATGAAATTGATCTCCAAACCAAAAAAAGAAAATAAATATTGAGAATTGAAGGCCAATTCCTCTATTAAATAATGATGCCAGAATATTTGCTTTGATCTTTGCAAAAAGATTAAAATCAGGATTGGATAATCTAATTGATGAAGAACAATCTGGATTCATGCCTGGAAGGAATATATGCAACAACATACAGTTAATTCTGGACATGATTGATTATAATGAATATATAGTGGACAATAGTTTTATTTTGTTTGTTGACTTTTATAAAGCATTTGACACAATAAGCCATCAATTTATGTTTAAAGTCAGTGAATGCTTTGGATTTGGAAACCAATTTTTAAGTGCTGCCAAAACACTTTATAAAGGGTGCAACAGCTCAGTTAAGTTAGCACATGGCACGACCCCTAGATTTGCTATTGGTCGTGGGATAAGACCTAGGTGTAGTTATAGATAGGTATGAGAAACTCCGTAGTAATCAAAACTTCAACCCTGTAATTGAACAAATAAAGAGAAGGTTCAACATGTTGATCAGAGATCTTTCATTGAACGGTAGAGTTCTAAAGCTGAGGGAATATCCAGATCTGTCTGTCTCCTTATCATTGGAAATGCCTAGTGTAATATACAAAAAATTAGATACAATCTTATTTAATTTCATATGGAGGAATAAATGTCATTATTTAAAGAAAGATATCTTATGTAACACAAAAAGACATGGAGGGCTGGAGGTCTTAAGTTTTAAAACTTTAAACAATACATTCAAAATTAAATGGCTAATGAAGTTAATTACAGAATAAGATAATATTTGGAACACCTTCCCTAAAAATATATTTCATTTAATGGGTGGAATTGAATTTGTATTAAAATGTGACTATAAAATTGATACATTTCCTGTAAAGTTATCAAATTTTCATAAACAAGCTCTGCTGGCTTGGAAGTTAATTTACAAGCATAATTTTTCACCAACTAATTACTACATTTGGAACAACAAGAATATTCAACATAAATATAAATCACTATATTATGAAACATGGGTTGCCAATGGTGTTGTATTAGTTAAACAGCTTGTCAATGCTAATGGGCAGTTACTAACTTATGAGGAATTCCTTCTGAATTCAGTTTACCAGTTATGCCAAAAGAATTTGCAGTGGTTTTTGATGCTGTGCCAAGGAGTGTGCTGTAACTTCTTAGAGGTTCGGCTATTGAGGTCTCAATGATCCAACCAATTAATAGTAGTATATTCCTTGGAGAAATTTACATTACTAAACATAAATGTTCAAATAAATATATCAGGAACTGCATACAATGTATAATTCTTCTGGACTTCACTTTATGGAGAAATTAATTGGCAGAAAATGTGGCTTATTGTAGACAAATTCTGTCTTAGCAACAGTAAAAGAGGTTTCCTTTAAGATATTACATCGTATATATCTGGTAAAAAAAGATGTTTGAGAGATTTAGATTGAGTATTCTTGCACTTTCTGTCAATTCCATGAAGAATCAATTTGTCTATGTATATACTGTAGAATGTTTTGGTGGGATGTTGAACTTTATATGAAAAGGAAAACTGGACAAACGTTTCAACTTCAGGAAAATGACATTCTCCATATGTTTTGAAAGAAACGAGAAGGAAAAAGAAGTAATTTATTTGTACAGTTGGTAATAGTATTGGGGAAATCCACATCCACAAGAAAAAATTGTCTGACTCCAAACCACACTTTGGACACTTTCTCTAAGAACTGCATCAGTATAGCACCACAATTAAAAACGTTAAGAACAAGAAGGCAATCCAAACTAACTGTGTGTTTGACAAAGTTCTTTTGGACAGATGATATATTACTTTGACTTTTATTTATGTTTTATTACGCTATGTCCTTCCTGTGTTATTATTTATGTATGTTCTCTTCTTATACAGCAGCCTCCGACTGTTTTGTGTTTTAAATTTCAATAAAAAAGGTTTTTGGGACAACCTGCACTGGGTACCACAGACCTACAGAGAGAGGGAGGAGGCTTAGTGCGTCTAGAGAGCAGCAGCGTTCAGACTCCACTGTGGAGACCTCATGAGGACTATTTAAAGATTTCACCCACGATTCTATATATTAAATGCTGAACTGCAGACAAACGTACATATTAATTACACAGAAGCCCCCTGCTGTAAATTGACCCTGTCACTTCTGCTACACAACAATTATTTACACAAACGTCCACCATCATAGTGAGAATTGGTTGTAGTCGGTTTTGTCCAATAGATGGCGCCATTTGTTCAATGATTGTTGGGATTACAAGCAAAGTTGGAGAGGCAGTTTGAAGATGTAGCCTACTCCGTACAGGATCGCAGGGGGGCTGGAGCCAATCCCAGCTGCCATTGGGCGAAAGGCAGCCTTTAAGGAGTTTCTGTTTAAGAAAGCTAATATGGAATTTCTTACCAACCATTCAACACATGCCTGTTTTGTGATTGTGAGGAGGAAACTATTGCACATAGTTTGATTTACAGAGGAAACAAAGACATCGTACTAACAAAGATTTACTTTTTTTTATCCCAACTTCTCAGCAAACATAACTTTCATAATTAAGTTGATCAATACCCTATAGGCCTATTAAAACCATAAAAATATATGACTTAAAGATTACCCTCCTTTTATATTCTTCACACTTCACTTAATTCACGTAACCCCTCCAGGTCCTCCTCTGCTGCTTGGGTGTTCACCTTTTTCATTTCAGATCCGTTTGGCGTCGTTAAAATGTCTGTGCACATAAAGCAACATATGTTAAACATTTAAAACCATAGAAAATAAATCAGTATCACTGGTATCTTCCTTTTTCAGAGTCCTCCTGGACTTCACATGTTGTTTTCTAACTTACGGATCGTTCCGTTCATCCTCAGAAGCACAACAACAACAACAACGCAGAGAATAACAAAGACAGAGGAAATGATCCCAGCCCACAGTTCTTTCCATCTTTTAGTGACTGCTGTTTAATCTCATAGTTGTTTTCAAAAGTTTTGGTAGCCAACGCTACTGTACTTTAGCCTAGCAGCTAGCAATGGCTTCTCCTTCTCCCTCTCCTACTT